CACCGTGCGCGGCGTCGCCAGCGAGCGCGACCCCGCCAAGCGCCTCGAGGTTTCCGCGTCGTTCGTCCGCGTCCTCGCCCGCGGGTCCGCCGACGGGCGTGCGACGACCGAGTCCCTCGCGCCGTCCGCAGATCCTGAAGCGCCAGCTGGGCGCGCTGGCCGAGGACGCGGCGGCGCTGATCTCGCGGGGCGACACGCTCGTGTACGCGCTGCACGCGCGCAACCCGCTGCTGGCCGACTTCGTGCAGGCGCGCGTGCAGGACCGGCTGCGCGCCGAGTGGGCCGGCGTGATGGCGGAGATCGAGGCGCGGCGCGACGCGGCCGTGCGGGCCGAGGACCAGCTGCAGGTGCGTCCGGCCGCCCGCGGCGCCCCGGCCGGCCCGGACGGCCCGGACGGCCGCTGCACGGCTCGACCCCGCAGGAGCTGCGAGGATTGCTGGAGCGGCTGCGCGCGGCGCCGGAGGCGGCCGAGGCGGCCGAGCCGGACGACCGCGAGGCGGACGTGGAGCGCGTGCAGGAGCTGTGCGCCGAGTTGCGCGCGCAGCGGGTCTCGTTTCCCGAGCGGGCCGCGAACGAGACGTGCGCCGCCTGGACGCGCCTCGCGGCCGCTCGCAACTCCAGCGCGGACGGCAAGGCGAAGACCGTAGGTCGACTGTCATTTCTAACGGCTACTTTTTTTTGTTATATATCTTAAATACGCTAACGAATAAAAAGAAGATAAGAACGCGAGCCGCCTCATAAGGCGTTCCAAGATAACATTTCTAACAGCCTCAGAAAGACTTCGGCAATTTGAGCAGGTGACCTCTATTCCGCGATCTTCCATCGTAACTTTTCGCATTAAGCTTTTTGTATAAATATTTTGGGATTCGCTTTTTAAACTAAAAATGAAAAAAAAAAACAGTAATTACTTAAGACGTCAAGAGTTGCACATATATAGTTTTTTTTGGGATTAAATATGGTACTTTCTAGACGTTACTACTTATGCCAGCATTCCGATCCCTCTATATGACTTTATTTGTTTTTTCAAACGAGCACAATCCGTGCACAATATCACAACAGCTCAGATGCAATAAAACTAATGCACTGCACACTGAAGACTTCGTAGCGACGTCGATATAGCGCCAAATTCTATATAAAAGTTTAAGAGCCGAACGTTCGTCAAACTTGCTACCCGCGTGCTCCTCGACTCGTAAGTTACCGTCCCATACTACGCCCAGATTTCTAACATTGAATCGGAGCAAGGGTGTCACCAATAGATATGGTAGGATTGAAAGATTTTACTACATCGACTCGTCGTTTAGTGCCATAAATAATGACGACTCTCTTACTCGAGTTCAGAATCAAATCGCGCGTCGTCAACCGATCGGCAATAGCTATAAAACCCTTATTTAGTGCGATAGTGTGGAGGAGGTGTCTCCGCTGTAGCCGACGCGTGCACTTACAGTTGCGTGTCATTTGCATATAAGTGATAGTTTCGACTGGTTATAGCGACAACGGTGTACGCCGTGGATATCGCAAACGGACCTCATGATGTTATCCGTGGCGGAGCCAGAATTAAAGTAGCCGTATTTCTGTCCGGAAGATCGCTGCGCGCTTAGGTTTGAAGAATAGTTATTTACTCTTGAGATTTTCCGCTTCGAGGACGGCGCGGAGGCGGCGTGCGGCGAGTACGTGACGCGCGTGAACCGTCTGCGGTCGGCGGCCGCGGCACTCCGGGCCGCGCTGCGCCAGCCGCCGCTCGGTGGGAAGGACTTCGATGAGTTCCCGCTGCAGGAGGACGCGTTGCGGGTGAGCGGCGAGACGTTCGCGCCCTCGAAGGTCCTTTCGCTGCTCTGACTTGTGCTGGTGATGTTCAGCGGGTGAGCGCGGGCATGGCGGAGTTGGAGACTGGCTCGGCGGAGGCGGATCGCGAGTTCGCGTGGTTGACGCGTGCGGGCCGCGCGGGAGACGGCTCGCGTGCGAAACGCGTCCGCGACAAATTGCGCGCCGAGCTCTCCGCGCTTCGCGAGGCGTACACCGCCAGGCGCGAAAGGTACGCCACTATTTTTTATACATCGAAAAATGTTGTTTTTCGATCTACGCGAATTCAAATCGGCGAGCACGCCGTTCGCCGCGCCGAACGTCGGGGCGGTGGTCGTAAAGCTAGCCGGCGGTCGTAGATGGTCCCGGTGCCGGGCGCAGTGGGCGGGCCTGTACGCGGCGCTGGAGACGTGTGGCGAGTGGCTCGACGGCGCCGAGCGCGCGTTGGAGACCGCGCACGCGACTCCCGGCGACGCGCGCCGCACGTTGCAAGACCTGGAAAAGCAGACGAGCGCGTGGCGGCGACAGGTTCGTACGAGTATTTTAGAAAAGTATTATTTTCGCTCTCGTACGATACTAGGAAATTCCAATACGACCGTTCGGTTTATCTATGAGAATTGTGCAGGTGTCGTCGTGGCGCAGTGCGGGACGTGCCGTAGTGGGCGCGTGTGGGGCGCCCCTGTCTCGCGACGTGCAGGAGCAACTCGACTCGCTCAACGAGCGCTGGCACGGCGTGGCGCGTGGACTGCAGTCGCTGCGCGAGCGGCTGGCCGCCGCCGGCACAGGCGCAGACGCAGACGCGCAGAGTCCGCGACCCGACAGTGCCGGCACTGGCGAAGCGGGTACCGCCACCAACACGCTTCGCCACGTGCGCGACCTGCTAGACACCACCAGCGCCAATCCCTCCGACGATACGAGCCTCTCCATCCGGCTCAGCCTAGTCAAGGTGAGGGCTTGTTCAAACGCAGCGTTTCGTACGACAACGTCACCCATGACAAAGTCATAGTCAAATAATCATTTATTCCTTAGGTAAAATTTCAAAACGTCGTTTTTTAAGCTACTGCCCGTTCACTGCGCTTACCTTCTCGAGATTGCTCTTTTTAAATACACTTAAATGCACTTTGAATCATAATTCTGTGAAATCTAGACTCATGTCGTTTTCCATACATCTTCATTTAACACTCTTCAATTTTGTAATATGACTTCAATTAAAATACTTTTAATCTAAGTTTTTAGCTTAGGAAATGATAATCTTGATATATGCTCCGGAATCTTATTGTAAAAAACGTATACTGTTTCCCTTTAAAATAATCGCTTACCTTAGTTAAACGAAATCGTGGTACCATGAGTTTGGACTTAGTTCTAAGGTTAATATTATATTATTATATCTTCTTCCTTAATGAAATTATGTATATTTTTACGGGCATACAAAATATTTGAGTAAATGTACTGTGATGCCACAGTCATGATACCAGTCTCCTTAAACTTTTCTCTGAGAGAAACTAGAGAACCTATACGGTACACAGAACAAATAGCTCGTTTTTGCAATACAATTATGGTTTGTATATTTTCCGATTTACCCCACATGAAAATCCTCTAGGACATGGAATTAACTAAAGTAAACTAGCAGTAGCAACATAGCTCGGCTGTCGTTTTCTAGGAACTGCGTATGCGGCAGAGCTTGATGAAGATATATGTGGAAACCGTTGAAATTTACTATCTAAGGTCACTCCAGAAAAAACAGCCTTATTAACAAGGTCTTACTTTTTTCATCTATTCTATGATTGGACTAGTCGATTTTACATTAGGTAATTCAAATTTATCACACTTTGCCTTCTTGACATTGAGCAATAAATTGTTGTTGAGATGGTATCGTTCATATTGTCATAGTGAACGTCATGTCTGTCTGATTTAAAAATCAAGGGTGTGTCGTCCGCAAACAGTATTTCACAAACGTTCTTAACAAAGAAGGGTAGATCATTGATATAAATGATAAATAAGAAAGGTCCTAGTAGCGAGCCCTGCGGAACTCATTTTTTTTCCGAAGATCCCAAAGAAGTCACTCCATTTATGTCTACTTTCTGAATTCTACCGTTAAATTTGACGCAACAACAACTAACAAATGCAAACAAATTCGGTTCATTCACCATTGTACCTAAACACCACTGGAATTATATTAATAATACATTATTATACTCAGTCATGTTATATCTGAAATGTTTATATAAAATGAACATTATGCAATTGATATATTAGATTGAAAGTTGTTTTATCAATCGTCTATTATACCCAGACTCCTTAACTTTTTTTTACTATGCAAGAATATGTCAAATGTCTGTACACCATAAATTAATTATACGCTATATATCATATATATATATATATATATATATATATATATATATATATATATTTAGTCGTTATAACGCTCTAATAGACTAAAAATATGATATATGTTGTTATATATTATGAACCGCACCCAAACAAGTCACTCCATTTACGTCTACTTTCTGAATTCTACCGTTAAGATATGACAAATTCCAACGCCTTGCCATTTACTCCGTAATATTCCAGCTTCTCAACAAAAGTAATATGTTCCACACAGTCAAATGCCTTTGAGAGGTCACAGAAAACCCTTATTATTAAACCCATATTATTCACTATGAAAAATGTGATTCCTACCGAAATAGGACAATAATTGAGTCAACATAACCTTTTCGAATATTTTACTTAAACCTGGGAGAATCGCAATAGGCCTATAGTTGCTACAATCAACTTTCCTACCGCTTTTGAATAAAGTATTTCGTCAAATCGGGAAAAATACCTTCGCCAACGCACCTGTCGAATGCATTCAGCTAAATGTGGGAAAATGAGATATATTGCTGAGTATAACTTAAGTCGATTTGCCCCAGAGATCTTCAGGTTATTTAACATGTTGTTGTGTATGTAACGTACGTGGATAGGGGTCTAGTCAAACGCAAACTGGTTGGTTACGCACTGGCTTTATTCGACACACAACACTCTTTAACTACTAGCTACTGCACCGTACATACGCACAGCTAAGCGCGCATACATCGTAACACATGTATAGATTTAAAAGCTTTGATGATCTCTTGTGGATTAACATGATGAAAATTAAATACACTGCCGCAAACGTTCACATTTTTCTTTAGGAGATCAATAGCAAGAGAAGGAAAGGAATGATTCTGTACGGTTCCCTGCGATTTCCGAAAAGAACGATTCAAAAGCTTGCGAATATTATAGAATCTAAGGATGAGGAACCAGGATTTTATAATTTTCGCGTATAATTTTAGAACTATATCTCTATCACGTTGCCTGATTCTTTGTTTATTATACTCCAAGTAGTTTTAGATTTATTTTTCGATTGTCTAATTTTATCGCTGTGAAACTTAACCTTAGCAGCTACACATACTTTTTTCAATATTTTTGAATAATTTTTAACATATTCTATAAAACTGGAATTAGTATTATAAGTTTTCACAGCGTATAGCTCATACAAATGAGACCTAGTCTTATGAATGCCTACAGTTGCCCAGTCATTAGTTTTAGCGTTTTCGATTTAAATACATTATCATTAATTTTTAATACAACTAAATATCGTGCTATATAAAATATTTGGAACCTCCGTTGGGGTAGGGAATTTAAAGTATTGCCGATATTATTTTGAAATCTAATACTTCGTTCTGTGGTAACTGGTCTGTACAGAAATTGGTCTACCTTTTTGCTCTTTTTACAGTTAAAAGTAGCCAATTGGCCACTAGGGTCTGATCTTAAGCAATTATTATTGATTATTATTAATTATTATTAATTATATTATTGATTTAGATAATGCGTCTGTGTTGCAAAAAATGTTATCAATTCACGTAGAATAGGAGTCGGAGTAGGAATAAAGTTAAAACTTTTAAATAAATTAATGAGTCTTACAGAAGCAGAACAATTTTCCGACAAGTTTACATTGAAATCTCCACATACTAATATGATTTTTTTGGTTGATAAAATCTGCTGTAAACTATCTTCCATGGTTAATTAACTCCTTGAAAAAAGCAGAGGGGTCCTGTATACACATAAGACGACAAACTGATCAATTCTACACTTGAAACTTGAACAGTCCGTTCAATAGAGAGATCTGTGATATCCTTACGCTCTGTAATTTTTTAATCATTGATATGCCCCCTTATATTCTTTCTGAACGATCTGACTATTACATAATTTTCAACGTTATCAGTTGCTTCGTAGTCTTTCAACCAGTATTCTCTTACACAAAACACGTCAACGGAAATATCGTGAAAAAGAGTCTATTTCTAATGTTTTGCCTGAAAAGTCCTGAATGTTTTTATGTACTACAATGAAACGATTAGACTTTTCCTTAATATTAAAAGCTAGTAAACTAGCAATATGTCTCAGATACCTTAAGGGTAAATGTAAACTATCCTTAAAAAGTTCGAAAATCCTTAAGAACTTGCTGTAAGTAGTTACTTAGATGGTGGCATAGTCCTCCGCTATTTTATCAGAAAAAAACAACCGTTCTTCTTAATGGCCTGGCGGAAGTTCAATTTCAACTCTATGTTTTCACATATTTTTCAAAAACAGGTGCATACAAATTATGTCACCAAAAATTTTTATGGGAGTCTGCCATTGTTCTTTCTGTTAACAAAATATGGCAAACTAAGTAATTGCCAAGAAGTGGAACCTATTGTATATGCAAATTTTCCAAATGCAGAATGAAACTCCGGTGTGCCAACTTTGTATGTGTGATGAAATCCGAGTTTATGGATACCTCACAGAGATCTAGGACATTGGAATTGGAAACAATAAAATAGCTCCAAGTAAATTATGTAACAACACACTTATTGAGGACTGCAGTCAAAAGTATAATGTCGTAGAAAAAACAATGACATGGAAACTTGAAAAGATATTTGAATTTGAATTACAAAGGAACGCACATACTAAAAAGGTTTGCTCTATTA